AAAAGCTCCATAAAGTGTTTTCACCTTTTTGAAACACTGACGCTTTTAAAATGAAAACAATTACAATAATGCTCCTTGTGCTAGTAAATACTCCAAGAATCCAGCATCATACATGTTGAAGTATTTGTCGCTACGCTACAAAACCAAGTGTATAAATAAATACATCGATACACGCAGTGTGACCAGAGTGCAGACTTCGACACCATGGGATTAACTGCAGGCTGAGTGTTACTCACTGTAGGAGCACCCGTACACCTCCGCCCTGAGGCCCATCCAGCCACTGGGGTTCCAGTCAAGAGGGACGAATCGCAGGAAGCGTGTCCTCACGGGGTGCGACAGCTTGTTCTGAACGACGCTCTCCGAGTTCCCGTTCCCGACAAACCTCTGCAGGTGAGAGAAGACAGACTCTGTTGAAACACTTCAGATGTAAATCACAGAGGCAGCACGTGACCTCATGTCTACTGTGAGGAATCAGATTTTTACCAGGACACAGCAAAGTTCTTCTTTTACTGCACACTTAAAAAATAAAAATCTGAATCCCAGAGGAGCCCCGACAGCAGCAAAGTGCTGACTAGGATAGACGAAGGGCAATATCTTCTTCCTATCCTTCAACATATTATTTGATGTAAAGTGATAAGAATCATTGGTGTTCTGTGTGAGACTGAGATAAAGTGACCACTGAGGCAGCCGGGGGCAAAATAAGGCTTCTGATATTGTGTTTTCCCTGCAGAGCTAAAAACAAAAACCTCTCAGCGCCGATGTGATATGTCATCCTTCTTTTCCTCACGTTCAGCTCCAGACAACGCCAGGGGACACAAACAAGAACGGAGCGAGTGAAATATGGAGATGGAAACAGAGACAAACAACTCAAATGACTGATCGTCAGCGCCGTCATAACCGATTCGAGACAGGTGACACATCAGATCAATAAGTACAACAAAGCACCAAAAAAGACAGATCATTGACGGGAGCTCCGGGTGGATAGTTGTGCACAATCAGACGAGCCGATCATTCGGCTTCCCACGACTAGAGAAGCGACGACCTGCGGTACGAATGACCGCCCGACACTTACGGCGCCGCAGCAGAGGCGTCATTAAACACGCCGCGATGCTGCTTGTTGTGATTTATGCAACCGCTTCCTCATTTTGAGTCGTGCACCGAGGGCGGCCTCATGGCTGCATGTTAAAGCAGGTACGTGATTGGCTTATTTACACATGCGCTCACATCAGCACAGGAGGGATTAACAAACGGAACTGGGGCGCACACATCTGGCAAAAGCAGATGTGTTACCTCAGCTTGTCACTGGAAGCTTCTGGAGGAAACAGAACAGCCACGAGAATGTGTGTCGGTAAGACGCACACACTCGCACAACTTTGCTTTTGTAAACGCTTCCAGGTACAAACATGAAACGTGTTGTTTTATTGTTTTACAGTCAGGTGTGTTCATCACAGCCTTCACCGTGCGAGGCTCTGTGCTGCTTTCAGCATCATCAGCTTCTGAAAGAATATGGACATCAAATATTTAGCATCATATTCAATTCACTATCGACTACCCACCTACAACCATACAAGTATAACATACAGATTTAAGGCCTTCTTCAGAATTACCAAAGTAAGAAATTAAATTACGTTTTATGAACAGTCGCCTCATATTATAAGGTAAAGATCTAAATCTCCCACAATCAGACAATCCCCGCACTTGGCAACAGTGGGAAGGAAAAACTCCCAGTTAACAGGAAGAAACCAGAAGCAGCT